ATATATATATATATATATTTTAAGTACTTCAGTTTAAAAAAAAAAAACGCAATAACTTGAAACAAAACTGCTTGTAAAAAGTAAAAGCTGTTTGTTATCAAAAGATAAGTTAAATAACACACGTTGTTCAAGTAGTGCCAAAAAAAATGCCTCAACTTTAAAATTTAATCTTATATTTAGTTAAATCTTTTAATCAGCTAACTAACTGCGTTGATGTTTAGAAAAACAATAGTGCTTCATTACTATTACTGTAAGTGTAAAGTAGTGAACTGAATGTAAGATACGGGGAAAAAAAACAGTAAAAATCAGAATATTATAGCACAGTAGCTGGTGACAGATAATTGTTTTTTAAATAAAATTTTTATATATTTTTTTTATGTCGTTAATTTTAATATCGTTAACATACGAGCTGACACTGAATAATCTGTTAAGAAAAAACGAAGATAATAATTACAGTTAAAAATTCTTATTTAAAACGACTGTAAACTCATTCTGTGTAATAAAGAAATTGACTCTAAGATACAGTGCTTGACGGTAGAGGAAAAATTTTGTAGTGAATATTGAATTTTTCTTCTAAAACTGTCTGTTTTAAAAAAAGAATTGGTGTATTTTTAAGCATTGTTAAGCTATTGCCTTGCATAAAACTTGAATATTAGTTAAGTAGTGAATAATCTTTTTTTTTTTTTTTTTTTTGTACTCAATTTAATTAGATGTGAAAGAAGTATCATACTGTTTCGCAAAAAGGAAAAAAAAACTATACTATAATATTAGATAATTTAATTTTGGATATAAAAATACAAGAAATTTTTGTCATCTAAACAAAGATGTAAAATTGCTTTGGAAATTTTTGTGTGGTAAAAATTGCAGACTACAATGACATGTTGAAAATTCTAACCACAGAATTTGACAGCCATCTCTGTTCTGTCACTTTTGGCTTACAAATTTTCACGATTTTAGAATATCTGATGGCTTTATAAGAGCACTGTTATTTGTAAGAAAGAATCAAATCTCCTTTATGTAAAGCACAGATCATCTTCACTAATGTATTTCTGCAATGCCTCATTATTAATGTTTATCACTGATTTTTTCATATTTTCATGCTAAAAATTTTTTGTATTTTTTTTTACTTTTATTTTTTATACTTTTATAGACAAATGTTTATATTCTTAAATTTTTTGAAAGTTTTTTATCTGTCGACAAATTTTTCTTGAATATCAAATTGTTCTTTTTGTTATTACAGCAAGATTAGCTGTATATCGTCAGGTTTTTCCATTCTTGCATAAAAAACTTTCAATTTCTGTTAATATGTGTTACAAAGTAAATTTTAATTTGACGATGTATAACAGCCAAACCGTTGAAGGTCAAAAATTTTAAAAAGTATTTTTTTAATACAGATTTATCAAGGGTTTTTTCGATCAGATGGGACATCTTAAAATACCATCCATCTTCCTCTACGCTTTCTGTTGTACGATTCGATTCACTGAGGCCACTTATACTGCTGCTATTCCAATAACTGTATGGTCTTTAGATTATACGCTCAAAAGTAGTTCTAGTTTTTTCACCTACATAAATAGTTTTGTAAAACGTTTAAAAAACTACTATCTATGAGCAATACACAAATAACCTTGTACCTTTCAGTCTCTACAGAGTACGGCAAAAGCGACAATTTTGAACAGTAGGTATTCAAAAGCTGAATTTGATCGGCAGTGAAATTTCAGCTTAAGTGGAGTCTAAGATTTATTCATGCTGAGAAATAAAAAAAAATTTATTCTTTTTCTAACATAATTTAAACCATTTTAGAACAATAAGAGAAGATAATTGAAAAAAAAAAATTGAAAAATTTTAGTAAAAAAATTCTTCTTTGATGCAGAGGAATGCGCAATTGCTAGATATTGAAAAATTTTTATATATATTATATTGGTTGCAAAAATAATAGTGGAATGATTTTGGTTGTGATTGATCGAAAAATCCTTTTTAAATCCATGTTTGTCTTTAGAATTAGGTTGTTTTTTTCTTAAAAAAAAAATAAAGAAACCGTTTGAGGAATCACATTAGAAGGAATACAGGAAATCGGTACTTCTGTTTGTCAGTTTTTTATAATATTATTTCACCTAATAAAAAACTAATGCGAGAAAAGAAGACTTCTAAAATCTTAAAACTAAAGCAATAAATTGAATAATGAGCAGAATGAGAATAAGAAGAACAAAAAATTGTTATCTTCTAAATCTTAAAAATTTCTGCATATATCAATTCTTTTGCTTTTTGAAAACCTGCACTTTTTGTTTTTACCATTATTTGGAAAATAAATTACTCAACCTTTGGTTCAAATTGTAACTTTTATCTCATATAATTTTCTCAAACATTTTGTAATTACGCTTGAAAAAGTTTAGAAACTTTGAGGCACTGGATCAGTTAATTCTTGTGGCGTGTATGAATCTTATATACAGTATCAAAATGAAAAAAAAAATGACAAGCAATTTCAGCGGTTGAGAATATCACAGAGTACTAAATACTATCCGCTAACCCTATGTTTCGTTAGACAAACATTTAATCTCTTTTGCAATGAAAAAGGGTTAATTCTTAATGAGATCTCTTATTTCTTGAGCATCACGAAAAGTTTTCAATTAAAATAAATATA